TGATAATGTTTACCTTTGCCAGATAAGCTTGCAGAAATGAGACATGGAATGTCTTATAATATGTAATTAAGTAGCATTTTTAATCACTTATTTTAGATCACTATACCAATGGATAAAGACATACTAAATCTTCTCTGTGGTCTAGCAAGAAATACTTTCCTTTCTTTTGTAGAAAGTAGTATCCAATAAGAACCTGCTAAGTGTTTTGTGGTTTTTTTCTCCCCCCAGTCTGTTTGTCCATTATTGAATTAGCCCTCCTCTCTGTCAGAAAGTTTCTACGGTCTTTCACTGGTCATCTGTGGTTTTTTGAGTCTGTAGCTGGCACCTCTGTATGATTCATCAGGTCTGTACTGCTGACCCATGCTCTAACAAAATGTTAGGGGATGATTAATGATTGGAATTGGCTCCCATTAGAAGGCACATAAAAATGATGGTTACTAAACGTCTTACCCTTTTACAGTTTAGGGGGCTAGTTATGACATCGTCTGGTTTAGGTTATTAGGAGGTATCTTTCTAAAATGCCTTTTATACTATATTGCATCTTTCACAGCTTTCTATCTGATGCGAGAAGCACCACTGATAGGTACTAACTGAGAGTGGCCAGAGATTATCTCAAACCATTTTGAAGCACTCAGATGAAAGGGGTGATAGTTAGAAGTGTTGGTGCAGTCATACTAAGTATGGCTGATCCCGCCCTTTGACAGGGTGCAGTTTACATGATATTTTGATGTCTTTTTTCAGTTTTGCTTTTTTGTGATTCTTCCTGCAAAAAACACTCAAGTGTTGATTTGAAGATTAGGGCCATGATGTAAAAGAATATATTCACTATACCACTGCTTACTGCAAAGCCTAACTTTTAGGCTTTCAGCTGTCCCCTGGACAGGGGAGGGGACTGAACTACAAAGGGTCTATCACCACTTCATCCAGCTTTTCTATTTAAGGACAGGAAGTATTGATGCCTTTTATTTTTGATCTTGATTTATTGCCTGTCTTTATTAAACACTAACTGGATGGTAATGCTGGAGAGGTAATAGTGGGGACCTTGATGGGCTCAGCCAAAGCTACTCAGCACAGAGGTCAAGAGAAATAGTTTTCTCAGTCTGAGAAGTTAGAGAACATTTGTTATGTGATTCAAATGCAGAGAAGGCCACGATCTTCATTTTTGGTGATCCATGGGTTATCTCTTAGAGCAGTCTGAGAGGATCCTCTGTGGCTCAGAAATACTATGCTAACGACAGCATAGGCAAGGAGTAGACAGAAGAGAGATTGCATAAATAGGCCAAGAGCACCAATCCAAAGCTATGTTATGAAGGACAAGTGTATTTTCATCAAACAGATAAAAATAGCTACAGAAGGACAACGGAATTAAATTGCTTCAATGTATTAGCACTAGACAAGTTGGGTAGATTTGTATTAGGCTCAGTATAACTCTTCTCTGAACCTGTTAATATTAGTACAGATTAATACCAGAATGCATCTGATGGATTGTAATAAGCTCTTCTTACAGAAACTTCTTCGGGGGCACATTGTACCATTAGTTTCATTTATGCACTCATTGATAAAATCAGTACCTTGCTGTCATGAAGGCGGCATGCAATTCCCTGCTGGTTTTGGCATGATGTAACTTGGCCTACGGGTCAGGGTAGTCATGGCCTCTCCTGTCCCAGCAGATGTGCTGGGTGAAGGGGGGCTTTGGCGTGACTGCTAGCAGTGCTGGTGGCAGGCAGGGGCTGGATGTTCCTGTCAGTGACACTGTCACGGCTCCCACTCTCGTCACTGATGAAACCTGCGAGGCCGATACGCAGCTGGAGCGGCTTTCTGCTCTCTCTCACCGCTTCACAATGGAAAGAAATGGCATGGGACCGAAACAGGCCCTGGCATCTCTTTCTCTGTTGGCATCACATTTTACTTCTTTCTCATGTTCATTGATGTAACTTTCAATCTTTTTGCCTGGGCCCCAAAGCAAACTCTTGAGTTCAGTGGAATAGGGACTTGAAGAAGTTAGCATTTTTCTTACACCAGGTAAGATGTTACACGAAAAAACACCTTTTCCTGAAGATGCATTCTAGCATCCCTTTTGGCTATATGTAGACCATGGATCTCAGGAGCACTCCCAAGGGCTCCAGATCTAGGCTTCTTGGTGTATGACCTAGCTGTGTTTGTTTCTATGCTGCAGGGAGACCTGTGCACCTACACCCCAAGCCCGCAGTCCAACCTCCCTTCCTCTTTCCACCTGTGGAAAGAAAATGCTGGCTTGAGCACAGGACAGAAGTTTCAGTGTGTTCCTCAGGGTGCCTGCTCTGTGTGTACTCAAGGGATCAGGTCTTGTGCTGTGTCGGTACAGCCCAATAGCTAAATACCAACACAGGCTTTGTGATGCACAGAGTACTGTTTGCCCACACTGGCAGTCCAAACATGATCTTTGTGGCCTTGGAAAACACCGAGCACCAATCTGTCTGTACAGACAGAGAATTTATTTAACTGAACAAACAAGGGAGCCGAACACCAAGATCATGAACATCTGAAAGACCAGCCTATTCAGTCAGGAGTCCTCCAGCTGGAAAGTGAAGCTGCTCTTGGATTTTTCCTGGGAGAATCCAAAGATCTGCTCCAGTGCCCCTTTACTTACAATCCTTATAACTCACCTGCATGCCTCCACCCACTGCAAATTGGATGCCCCTTCAGCTACTTGCTTCTCAAAGTACTATGCTTATAGTTTCTTGCTGCAGCAATGTAACGATAAAACTCTCTTTTTTTTGAAAAAAAAAAAAAAAAAAGTATTTTTTTCATTTAATCCTCTAACATAAACAAACTACATCTGTATCACTACCCCAGTTTCCAGGCAGATAATTTTTCTGCAGATTTTGTAAATAAGGGATTTTCTTTGTCTAGTATAGACACTTGTACCAGGGTTTACGCCTGCAGTGTCTGGCTTGTGGAAGAAGAATCCAAAGGCTGATTTGTAATTTATATGTGAGAGACCTGCCATTGCTCTAAGGAATAACAGCCAAACCATCCAGTCTGATGTGTGATTTATTTCTTGTAATCAGCTGGTCTACTGAGTCCTACCAGCTACAGTGAGAACTTTGTAAAGGCAGCTAAGCTGGGCTGCAAAGAAGTTTATTAAACTGAACATACAGGAAAATTTGTAAATGAGAAGATGAACAGAATTTAGAGAGAGAGTGTAATAAGCAGAAAAATAGGATACTGGAAGAGAAATAATTGGAAATGGAAAGAGCACAGCATCTGCACAGTTCTTGGTAGATATAGGAGCAGTGAAAGAAGTAAAATTTTACTTTTAGGTATATGATTTCCAGGGTCTACAGTGGGAAAAATCAGAAACTATGCAAAAGATAACCAAAGATAATGAAGATAAGTTAACTAAAGATAACCTAGGAGAACTAAAACATGCTATACGTTAAAGAACAGAAAGAGAACTGCAGATGGGCATCCTCTATTCTTTTGAGCATAGTGAAGAACTATGAGCTCAGGTTTGGCACACAGACAGGTTGAATACAGCAGGGAGTGTTGCTGTTCGCTAGCTGGCATTATCTGCTCAGATCTAATAGCTGCACTTGAGCATAGTTTGCTACCTCTGTTTTGTGATAATCTAAATTCTCTTTCCTGTAGTGGGGAGAAGGGGCATGCAAAGTTCATCTCCAGACTATAACTGCATAATGCTAGAGGAGCCATTTTACTCAAATGAATAAAATTCTTTTCACTGTCTCCTTTGGTGCAGGGACTATTTGTACGTAAGAACATTTCATACCATGGCCCAGGTCTTTCAGTGTCCCTAGAGTGAAGCTAACAGTAACAATAGAGGAAGCTTCTGTGGAATATAAAATCAGAAATATGGATTTAGCTGCATTATAACAATAAACTCCATCTGAACACTGAAAACACAAAAACGGCACAGGATACAGCAATAAAGTTTGTGTTTGTGGCGATTCTTTAAGAAAAATGCTACAGGTTAAAAATAAGCATTTGAAGCTGTTATATACCACAAAACCCTCCCAACCCCTTAATTTGTGGAAAGGTGGTGATTTGGGGAAGCAGAGACTTTATCTCAAGCTAACTTCAAAACCTGCATAGTATTTGACTAGCTGGTTAGTGGATAACATAAAGGGCATTTGGTAGTGTCAGGAAGGTGTGTGTTTTGCATTCCTCAGTCTGCGCGCAGCAGCAAAGCCCATTTGCTAAAGAAAAGACTCTCACTGATTTTGCCACCTTTTAGGTAAGGCCCATAATGAGCATGGACTGCCTGACCGCTGGCCCCACAGAGGGACTTCAGCCATTGCAATACTGAGCACTGAGTTTCCCAGCTCTTAGACCCTGTGAAACCTGGGGGAATTCACACCCATCTCGGGAAGCCCTGGTTCCCAGCACAATGTGCTGTGTACTCCTTCCACGTCTGCATCGAAATCTCTATTCTAGCAAGGGGACTGCAACACAACTGTTTATTTGTTCTATTTTTTCCCACAAATTACTTGAGTTACATCTTCTATTAGTGGTGTGAGGAGCTTGACTGTACATTCTCTGATTTTTGTAACAATGTGGTTCTTATTCTTGCAAAATTATAACTGTGAATATAAGACAAATGCTTGTAACAGTAATAAGCCTCCCACCAATAACAGTCTTCTGCTCTCACCTCTTTTGGAGTACTATTGCAGTATGAACTTATTGTCAGTGAGTAGTAGCAACAGCAGAGAAAACAAAAAAAGAAATGTTTTTGGAAAGGAGCATGATTAGCGCCTTTCCCCCGTTAACATTTTAAAAAGCTCATCATGAATTTTAGATCAGGATCACTGTCCACTTAGAAAAACAAGAGAAGACCACTAGATGGTGGTAAAAACCCAAGCCTTTGCTAACAAAGTCTGTGAAAAGAGAAGTTCAGAGGGGCAAAGAAGGGGAGGAGGAGCTACAGTTTGAGTACTGAAGTCATTATTGCTTGCAGTCTATAAAAAGGCAGTTGCACAGTAAGTAATTTATACGTGGTCAGCCTTGACTCTATGGATTTACTCATTCCTTTTCCTCTATTTTTGTCATCCATTCTCACCAAGGAGTCCCCAGCCCCAGATGTCAGGTGAAGAGGGGGGCTGAAACTTCTGCTCTCTGGAGGAAAGATTGCATACGATGAAGAGGAAGAGCAGCTGAAGGAGCAGCTCTGGTAAATAGGTACAGTTAATTCTTGATTGTAAACAAAAGGTTACTCTTAAAAACTGAAAATTATTTAGCTTGATATGCTTTGAATTTTATTTGCAACCAGTCACTGACAATCAGCTTTAACTGTTCCCCTTACTAAGAATCCAATGGCTTACAACTTGCCCTGAATATTGTTTGTACCAAAAGAGCACTGAATAAAATACTGACGACCTGGAATAGAAAACTTATTTTTATGATAGAATTATACCCATACTGATTCTGTAACCTTAGGGTATCCTGAAATGCATGGATTTGCCTTGGTTAGGTGTTTAATACTATGCTCTTAAGTGAGCATGTTAGTATTGCTCAGATAAGCTGTTTATAACACAATTCATGCGAACTTAAGAAGTACAAAGGTCAGGAAAACATTGAAATCTTTTACTGAAAATGTTCAATTCTTAATTGTGGCAATAATTCAAACTTCTATATATTGTATTCAAGTGAGCAGGT